GTAGATTGCCCCATCTTCCTTCTGAGGAGTGGCTGGTGGGTTTGAACCGCCAGCCTCCTGGTTAGCAGTCAAGTGCCTTAGGCACCACGCTACCAGAGCATCTCCATGGGTTATTTAGTACAATTCAGTTTGCCACTTTAGCAGGCTACATAGCAGGGTCATGGGAGAGGGATTACAGGAGGGGTCGATTTTATCGGGCACAGAGTTGGGAAGGAAAGCTGGTCTAGACTGGAATGCAGGTGGAAACAGGGCATGGCTTTACCCAGCCCCAATCCTGAGGGCTGTTTACTGCCAAGATGACATTTATCAGCTATCCAATATATAGAGGATTGTTGTTCACTTATGTGACTTAACTCTTTTTCTAATGGGTTTGACTTATAGTCATTGCATTACTGAGCCCATTAGACACTACCAGGGACAACTGTGAATTCCTTCAGTCTCCTGCTTGTCTTGGCTAACTGTTCCCACTGTTTATCCTCAGCCACGGTGGTTGGTGTAACCTCAGATGCTGCATCAGCCCACTGTCCTCTCATTCTACTTTTATCTTCTCCCCTAGACCTTCAGCTGCCCCTCTGTGCTGAGGGCCTTCCAGCCTCCTAATTCAGCCAAGACTTATACCCTTGGCTGCAACCAGGCTTTTCCACTTGAATATCTTGCCACAAGCTAAGGATGGTCAAATGGGGCAGTCAGCAGGCTCTCCTGGGCTGGGGACCTGTCCTCCTGCTGTCACTTCTGGCCTGGTGACCAACAACTCCCAGTACCCAACATAGCTATCATACCTACTGCCAAAGCTGAAATCTGGCTTGAGGCTACTCTTTGCTTTCCTTACTCATTCCTGGGTACAGTTATGGGCAGTACAAGGCTGACAGTGTAGTTCAGGACTCCATAATGTTGAGTCACCGCCACATGACACACCCCTCAGAGGCAGGCCCAGCAAAAAGTCTGGGATCCACAAAGTTGTGCTTGACTGACATCTTGTTAATCTTCTTAAATAATAATAACATCATATAGCTAATATTAACGTTAACCACCTGGCAGGCTCCATCCTAGGTACTTTATGTGAATTAGCTGATTTTTGCCATCACAGAAATACCCTAATGCACGGGGGTATGTTGTAGTAAATTACCTGGTATGGCTTTTCTAGCCTTAAGTCTTTGTAAACTCCATGGTAGAATCTGCATTGAGCAACTGAGGAGCTCCTGATAGTTAAAGTTATCCACCTGGGGTATTTCTGTTGAGAGTGTCAAAAAGCAATATTCTGGGAAGTTCTCTCTCTCTCTCAGGTGCTTAGAATTCTGATGTTATGATTGGTTAGTTTGTCTACTCTGCCAGGCTCAAAAGGAGCCCTCCTGGAGGCAGAAGGTGTCTCTCTGACTATTGGCTGAGAGACGGCGGGCTGAGAGAGACTGAGCATTGTTCCTGAATTTGAATTGTAGCCTGGTGCTTCCCTAATAAACCCCATAATCTGTGAGTTCTGTGTGGCCACTGCAGCGAATTATCGAACCTAGCAGAGAAGTGGTGGGTGTTGCTGGAGGAACGGTTGGTGAAAGGGCTGGAGGGAGGCATGTCTGGCCTTGCAGGAATAGGCCTTGGGCTACTGATGGTGATTCTGTCTTCCTCTTGTGTGGTTATAGGAGGTCAGAAGATGCAGCCTCCTTGCCCCTTTAGCAGGGGGGTTAAGTAAACTAGCCCACTTGAGGAAACTGAGGCACAGAAGTCTTGGTTACTAATCTGAGATGATGCTATTCATTGATAAAGGACATGGCTCCAGAGGCCACCCTCTTAGCTCCCAGTCATTCAGCCTTCCTGACAAAATCATGGCAAAGTCACATGCCAGATGCTCTGGGAACACCCAAGAAACAAACAAGGCTACATCCACTGGGGGGGTTAGGGAAGCTTCTCAAGAGCAGGTGGTGCTTAAGCATAAGTAGCAGTTGGTTTGCTAGACAAATTCCTAGATCAATTCTAGAATTGCTGCCTGGAGAGTACAGGACTGTGTGCCCTCTGAAGAAGCCTCCAGAAAGTGGGAATTCTATAGTAGGAAGATGTGTTCTCTGGTGAGGATTGATATGTTGTTCTTGGTTGCAGTCAAGTTGACTCTGACTCATGATGACCCCAAGTACAATAGAAAGAAATGTTGACCAGTCCTGTGCCATCTTCACAATTGTTGGTAGGCTCTAGTCCATTCCTGCAGCCACCATGCATTTTGAGTGCCTTCTAACGTAGGGGGCTCATTTTCCAGCACTATGTTTTGGTTATCTAGTGCTGCTCTAATAGAAAATACCATGAGTGGATGGCTTTAACAAACAGGAATTTATTCTCTTACAGTTTAGGAAGGTAGAAATCTGAATTCAATGTGCCAGCTCTAGGGGTTTGGTGAAGGCCCCTCAATCTTAGGCTTAGCTCTGTTTCTTGCTTTCAGCCTCTGGAGCTGGAGGTGTCTCTTAACTTAGGCAGCTGCCGGCTGCTGAGGCTGGCAAATGCAAGGTCAACAAGTAAAATGGTATAGGCCCAAGACTATCAAACAACATGGCAGGCCACTGGTTCAAGTCCAGAAACAGTCCCAAGATTGACAGGCAATATGGCAGGGCTACTGAATGAAGACTCAGCTAAATGCAGGATCCAAGCATGCCAAAAACTCAGAGACCTTCCTCAAAGCTTCTTCTTATATACTGGAAGCAGATCACATCCCTAAGGCAGCTTCTCAGCTGCTCACAGCAGATTCCACCATGGAGTTGATTACCAGACTCATCATGGGGAATAACTACAGCTAACTAACCAATCACTCAAAACTAGGCCCAGCCAACTTGACACATAATCTTAACTACAACTATATCAGGCAATATTCTGTGACTCATAGGGTTTTCATTGGCTAATGTTTTGAAGTAGATGGACAGACCTTTCTTCATAGTCTATTTTAGTCTTTAAGTTCCACTGAAACCTACAAGTTGCTCCACCATGGGTATTTTCTGGTATTTGAAATACTATAGCATAGCTTCAAACATCATAGCAGCATACAAGCCACACAGTATAACAATTGACAGATGAGTGATGGGAGGACTGATACACAGGTATTTAATAGCTACACAGACTACATAAACTTTGAACATCAATTGAGCAGATAATAAGACAGGCAAGTTTTGGTGCAATTTAAAGATCCAAATCAAAACTTTGGTTTCAGTGACTCCCAACTTGTCCAAGGACACAGCTGAACTATTCTAGAATCTTTCTTCTGCCCCATCCTGCCCAGCCATGATTTACATGCCTTTATCCCTAAGATCACAATTCTTTTTCTCTGATAACAAATAAGCATTAGGACAGTTAGTGTAAATAACAAACTGATCAAAAGTGGCCACTGAACATTCATCCATAAGCATGAGTGGCCTTTCCAGGTTTATGTGGCCCAGCCTCTCACCTCCCTGTGGTTTGGTTTCTAGGGGAACATAGAACCATTGTATCTTGCACACGAATTGTAAACAAGACCATGACCCTGGTGAACGACAGTGACTGCCTTCTAGCAAGCCGCCCAGAGCCCCAGGTCCGGAGGTGCAACTCACAACCATGCCAGTCACGGTAAGAAGCTTGCTTCTGTAGCTTGGATCCCTCAAGTTTCAGGGCGGGACTACCCATGAATGGGGAATTGGAAATATACAAATTTCACAGTACCAGCCTGTATCAGGAGCGCTGGTGGTATAGTGCCTAATGCATTTGACTGCTAACCAGAAGGCTAGCTGGTTCAAACACACCAGCCACTCCTCAGAAGGAAGGTTGGGCAGTCTACTTCCACAGTGATACCACCTCAGAAATCCAAGGAGGGGTCTCTATGAGTCAGATCCGACTCAATGGCAGTGGATCCATCCTATATCATGTTTCCTTTTTCTATTATTGTTCAGTGATTCCTGTTTGTTCAAAATATTGAACTTCTGTCTACTAAGCCAGAACCAGTTGCTATTGAGTTGATTCCAATTCATGATGACCCATGTATCTTTGAGTAGAATGATGCTCTATAGGGTTTTCAGTAGGTGATTATTTCAAAAGTAGATCACCAAGCCTTTCTTCCAAGGTGGCTCTGGATTGGTTTGAACCATCAACCTTTTGGTTAGTATCTAAGAGTTTAGCCATTTACAGCACCCAGCAACTCCTCCTAAGCCAGAATTTTGATGGAAATGTACAATGTACAGTCCTTGCTGGAAGGCATCATATGAGAGACATTAATTACATCTACTTGAGGTTAAAAAAAAAAAAGAAAGAAAAACACCACCACACATAACTGATACATGTCGGCTCCCCAAAATTACTTTGTCCTGGAGAAAAAGGATGTAAATGTTATAGTGTGAGCACCCTTGAGTCAATGTACACACAAGTTTAGTGTTTGTGGATGACCAGTTCACTGTCTGAAATTAACACCAATAAGGGCAGAGCTTGGTGTTTATTATTTGGAATCCATCAGAATTTCTGTTCCCAATCCTAGCTTTCATGGCCATGTTTCTCATGTGTTCTGAAGTAAATTCTCTTCGAATGTCAGCCAAGATGAATTGTATGAGATCTGTTCATCAGTGAAGCCTCTTTCTTTCTAGTAGTTAGAGTGGGACTCTGCATAATATTATAATTTTGCTGTGTGGTGTAACTGCCAGCCTTCTGGTTAACAGTCAGGTGCCTTAGGCACTATGCTACAGCCACTCCTCGGAAGGAAGGTTGGGCAATCTACTTCCGTAGTGATATTGCCTCGGCAACCCAAGGAAAGGTCGCTATGAGTCGGGTGTGACTTGCAGCACATAACAACAACATGTGGTGTAATGCTGCCCATGGCTTCTTATTCTGATCTCAGTTGAGGTAAGAGTGGCTTTTGCTCTGTGGTTGTGTTTGTCATGCTTAGGCACACTTACCTTTTGTAACCAGGCTGGTCTTTTGAAGTGGCAGTTTTTGATATTTCTTAAGTCCAACTTAGGCCATTTATAAGCACTTGGTTTCTACACCAGCCCTCTTTGTTTTGTCAAACTCTTAAAATAAAATGTATGTGTAGAGCTAATGGGGCAAAGTTATGACAACTTCTTAGCCACAGCCAAACACCTTGAGGGACTGAGTCACTGGGCCCATGTGCTTCAGACCATGGTAGCAGGGGACATCAAGCTCAACTGGCATAACTTAACTACACAAAAATATTCTTCTACATCCTACTTTGGTGAATAGTGACTTGAGTCTTAAAACCTTGTGAGTGGCCATCTACGATGCAACAATTGGTCTCTCCTTGACTGGAGCAAGAAAGAATGAAGAAAATAAAAGATGCATGGAAAGAATTAGTCCAAGGGACTAGTAGACCTTGTGAACCTCAGCCTACCTGACCTTGAAACCAGAATAACTAGATGGTGCCCAACTACTGCTGTCAGACACTTAGAAAGAGAACAAAATAGGAGATCCTGGATAGAGTAGGAGAAAAATGTGGAACAAAACTCAAAGCCACAAAAAAATACCAGCCTTACTGGACTGATAGACACTGGTGAAACCCCTGAGACTATGGCCACTAATCACCCTTTGGACCTGCAATTGAACTCACTCCCATGGCTTCCAGCCAAACAATATAAAGACTTATAAGTTGAACATTTATACCAGCTGGTATGCTCCTCAGAACAAACAACCATGGAAGATGAGGACAGCATTTGCATAGGGAGATAGCTCAGAGGGCAGGAACGCACAGGAAAGAAGGACACAGAAAAGGTAACCACGGGGAGGAAATGTGAAGAGAGCTATTACATTATGGAGATTTCAATCAGAGTCATAAAACAAAATGTGTATAAACTGTTAAATGGAAAATGAATTTGCTCTGTAAACTTTCACCCAAATCACAATAAAAATTAATTAAATGTGTGTGAATGAGAGAGAGAAACCAAAAGGGAAAGTAAGAAGCTGAAACTTGTTTTAATGCCCTAAGACTAGCTCCTGTCATGCCCTAGAGTCCATGCTATTCTCTATTTTACTATCAAAATCTTTTTCAAAAGTATACGTGTTGTTGTTGTTAGGTGCCATCCAGTTAGCTCTGACTCATAGCAACCCTATGTACAACAATCCCATGCCATCCTCACAATTATACCTGAGTGCATCATTGCAGCCACTGTGTCAGTCCATCCCATTGAGGGCTTTCCCCTTTTCTGCTCACCTTCCACTTTACTAAGTATAATATCCTTCTCCAGGGAATGGTCCCTTCTGAAAACATGACCAAAGTAGGTGAGATAAAGTCTGGCCATTCTCGCTTCCAAGGAGTATTCTGGCTGCACTTCTTCCAGGACAGATTTGTTCATTCTTTTGGCAGTCCATGGTACTTTCAGTATTCTTCACCAACACATCAGAAGCTCAAAAGCATCAAGTCTTCTTTGGTCTTCCTTAGTCATTGTCCAGCTTTCACATGCATATCAGATGATTGAAAATACCATGGCTTGGGTTAGGCGCACCTTGTTCTTCAAAGAGACATCTTTGCTCTTCAGCACTTAAAGAGGTCTTTTGCAGCAGATTTGCCCACTGCAATATAACATCTGATTTCTTGACTGCTGCTTCCATGGATATTCATTGAGGAACTGCCAAACTGTTTTCTATGATGTTGCACCATTTTATGTTCCCACCAGCAATCAAGCAATCAATAAGGGTTTTTCCAGTTTCTCCAGATCATCACCAACACTTATTTTTCTTTCTTCTTCTTCTTCTTTTTTTTTTTTTTTTTTTGATAATAGCCATTCTAGTGGATATTAATTAGTATCTCATTGTGGTTTTGATTAGCATTTTCCTTTTGGGGGTCTATCCTGTTTGGGGTTCTTTGGACTTCCTGAATGGATATACCCTTCTCTTTCATCTATCAGGGAAGTTCTCCTCCAGCAAATCTTTGACAATTTTCTCAGTAGTTTTATTTTTCTCTTCCTGTTCTGGAATTCCAATGACATGTATGTAGGTTTTTCCTTTTGATGGTATCCCACATGAACCTTAGCCTTTCTTCATTTTGTTTTGATTTTTTTATGATTGATCCCTTTCCAAAGAAGTATTCAGGTATTTGTCTTCAATCTCATTAATTCTGTCTTTCATTGCATCAATTCTACTCTTTGTCCTTCCAATGTGTTATCTATTTCTGACATTTTAGTATTAATCTTCTGGATTTCTGCCTGTAGATTTAGAATCATTTCTAATTTTTCATTTATTTTATATCTTCTTGTATTTATTTGTATTTCTTGTATTTTCTTCCAAAATTCCTCCAAGGTTTTTTCTGTGTTTTCTTTGATCTGTCTCTCAATCCTTTGAAGATACCTAAATATAATTCTTTTGAATTCCTTATCAGAGAGTTCCAATGCTGCTTCTTCCTCAGGGATGTATTCTGGGTCTGTATCCTGTTCCCTTGTTTCTACCACTTTATCTTGCTTCTTTGTGTGGACTGTGATGGTCTGTTGTCTCTGAGACATCATGGTGTTGTATTTAGATCTCTGTTAACTGTTTGTGAAGAGCAGCCAAGGGTGATTCAGGCTCTTGTTGATAGTTTTTTATCGTTGGCCCATTGGTGGAGAAGGAGGTGGTGGCGCTCGCTCAGTAAGTGAAGTTGCAGGAGGTGGGGGTGTAGTTGTGTCTTATGGGGACTGTTGCTGTCTCCCACTCAGCTTTTCAGTCATGCATGTCTGGAGTGCCCTTGGGGTTACTGGCAAGCCCCTGGAATCTGGTAGAGCACTGTCTCTTTAAATATCCAAAATGGTCAAGCCACTTGTAAACATTCAAAGTGGCAGCACCCTCCAGACAGGCAGAAGTCCACAGATCAGCCCATCTTCCTCTTCACTGCTGTTTCCCCTTTTATTCCCCAGCCACCAGAGCAGTCCTCCATGCAGTCCCTGGCTAGCAGGGCTGATTTTTAGGTTTATTCTTAGGTCCTACCACCACTCGGGAATCTCCAAGCTGTCTGTGCCGTCAGGATCACTCAGGATTGTTGCCAGACCGCAGCTCCTCATGTCTCCTTTTTTGGTATTTTCTCGCAAATTCCTCTGCTAGTTGAGGTTTAGTCCACTTCTATGTCCTTCTCTTCAAGGCTCAGGGGTCCAGGATTATCTTCTGTGTCTGTGTTAATTAGTTCCCCTTTTCTTTGTTGAAGAGGGTCTGTGCAGTCTTTCTGCCTATTCTGCCATCTTGGAATCTCTCCTGATTAGCATTTTCCTAATGACTAATGATGTTAAGCATCTTTTCATGTGCTTATTGGCCATTTGTATATCTTCTTTAGAGAGATATCTATTCAAGTCCTTTGCTTATTTTTTTATTGTATTATTTTTCTTATTTTCTACCATGCTATTGTCTTTTCACTTTGTTTTAGTAATTTATTTGTTGTTGTTGACAATGAAAATATACATGGCAGAACAGTTGTGACACTGATTACATTCTCCAAGTTGTGCAACCATTTTCACCCTCCTTTTCCAAATTATTCCTTCCCCATTAATGTAATCTCACTGCTCCCTTGAGCTTTCTATCTAACGTTTCAAGTTGCTGTTGTCATTTTGATTGTATATAGATAGTTCTTTAAAAAAGCACATATCTCAAGGTAGTCATTCTATACTAAC